CACCCTATTTCTTTAGCCTCCTTGACACTGCAGCAGTGCTTCAGAGCAGAGCAATAAACAGGGAATTTAGCTGTCCCACCAATGCTCCTCTTCCTCCACGCCTTGAAGATCATGACCATGGCAAAGAGAAAGAATACTTTCTGAGTAGCCATTGGCCATATACAACGGCCTGCTGCTGCCTGCACTTGTACAAAACAGTGACGAAGGACATTTTCATTGCAGTTCTCTGCATGTCTGAGGGAAGATCTCTTGTCTGTGACTGTGGGAAGATCTGTTGTCTACAGTTTGTGGTTCCAGCTCATAAGCTGTCATTTGGCTCAAGCACTGCAAACTTCCACATGTGTGACAATGCAAAACAAGCTAAAGTGGCCACCGAGACGTCTGTGATGCACTACAAGTCAGCAGGCAACTGATAATGCATTAAGTAATATATTTAAAACCAACATCAGAAAGTCAAAGAGGGTTTGGGACTCCTATGCCAACCATATCTTTAGCAGGCATTCCATTCTTTAGCTAGGAGGAAGACATGGGCCTTAGTCATTTATATGTAAAGCTACAGCTTGTCCAGGGCACTGCTGCTGCATTTCAAACCTGTGCAAGCAGGACTCGTGACATGCTCTGGCATTATGTGTGCTGCCAGTAGCATTGCTGGTTTACTGGCATCTCACACAAGCTGAAATTTGACTGCCCAACCATGTGTTCACATACACATTCTGTGCTGGCTGCAGCAGAGATTATGGGGAAGCACCGTCATTAGCCCAGCAACCTACCAGCTTGTTGCAGGGCTGCTGCACCTACAGGTCTGCCACCTGGAAGCAGCTGCAGCATCTGAGCACTTGATGTCCTCCTACTCCCCTTGAGGGAAAGAAATACCTTGTGCAGCCTTTTAAACTATCATCTCATTTTAAACTCACAGTTCTTACAGTTTGCAATTCTTTTTATGGCCCGCCATATCAATTCCTAATCAGGCATAGGACTTGCCCTTCCCACTGCCTTTGGGAGCGATGGAACTGAAAACTCTCTTGGCCTGATTTGTTACATCTGCAGAGAAGCCCTTTCTAAAGCCTCATCCCAACTTCAAATCCACAACAGCAATGTCAGACTCAGATGGAAAAAACTGTGCCTCCTGTGACCAGGAAGCGAAGAACTGGAAAAAGTTAGTGCACCGTAGCACTGATGATCCCCTGGCACCAGCCTCTGCTGTACTTCCCCTGCGCTCCTGTTTTTCTGGGATGCCAGTTAAACGATGCCGACACCCCCTCCCAGCCACCACTACTGTAACCCCTTACAAAGGGGCGGCCACTCGGCTTCAACCCTTCCTCCGGGACCGCGGAGCGGACGGGCTGCTGGATCAGGCAGGGCCGGCACAAGTTTCGCGCTGATCGCCCGCCGCTCCCGGCACGGCTGTTCCCTCGCCCTCCGCCCCGGCGCTTCTCCCGGAGCAGCCACGGCCGCCCGGGCCCCGGCCGCGACTCAGCGCCGCCGCTCCCGGTGCCGCCGCGGCCGGGCACAGGACTGGCTGTTCCCTCTCCCGCTGCGCCGGGAGCCGCCGGGAGCGGCCGCTGCTCCGGGGGCGGCGAGGACGGGGCGGGCGTGACGTCAGCGATGAGGCGCGAGGCCGGCGCGGAGGGGGCGGCGTGCGCCGGGAATGCGGAGCAGGACCGGGATCAGGACCGGGACCGGGGCTGGGACCTGCCCCGCGGACCCGGGGCCGCGCTGCGCGCCCGGCCGGGACCAAGTTCATAAACGCCGTGCCCGCCCGCCCGCCCGCGCACAGATCTCAACAACCGGCGCTTCTCTCGGCACCCGCAGATCTCACGGGGAGCCTCCGACCGTCTCCGCGGCAGCGCGCCCGGCCGGGCGGCGGCACCCGCCAACCCCTCGGCCGCTGCCCCGGGCCGGCCCGCCCCGGCACCTGTGCCGCCCCCCGGGCGCTCCGCCCGCTCCCTCGAGGCCGGTGCCCGCCACCCGCGCTCACCACGAGGAGCGCCCCGCGCCCCCTCCCCGCCGGGTCGAGGCCATCACTGCGCTGCCCCGCGGGGCCCTGCTCCGGCCCGGGGGGACGGAGGGGAAGGACCCGCGGCGGGGGCGGCCGGGACGCGCACTCACCTGCCCAGGCGCCCAGCGCCGGCCCCACGGCGGCGGCGCCGCTGCCCAGCACCCAGACGCGGAGGCCGGCCAGCAGGCGGTACGAGGCCAGCGCCGCCGCGTACAGGGCGCCCAGTGCGCCCACCCAGTAGAGGAGGCCGGCGGCCGGGAGCGCGGCAGGAGCCACCATGCTGCGGAGGCTGCCGCGGCCGGACTGAGCCCTCCCGGCCACCGCCGCCCCGCAGCCGTCACGGCGCCCGCCCCCGCCCCGCCGCGATTGGCGGAGGGGCCGCTCAGGCACCGGGTAACCCGGCAACGCGGCCGGGCCCGCCCGCCCCGGGGCCGCCCGGCCACACGCCCCCGTACTACTTGCGGCCTGCGCCCCACGTGGTCGGCACCGCTCTCCTGCCTCCATTGGCCGGCGAGGATGGCCATCACCCGGCGACCGCGTTCCGATTGGCCCTGCTGCGTGTAGGCCTTGCAGGATTGGCGGAGGACGGGTGCTCTCTTCCCGCCCCTACTGACGTCATATGAGCCCATTCATAAAATGCTCAGGCTCCGCCCAGCAGCCGAATGTGTCCCTGGGTTCCCCTCCCCCTCCCCCCACCGCGCTCCCCCCGCGATGGAATCGGCACGGCACGGCACGGCCGGGGGGGCACCGGGAACACGGCACCGGGAAAACCGCGGCTGGGCACCGCAGCCCGGCCGCCACGGCTCCCCACGCAGCGGTGGCTGGCAGCGCTCTCCCTCTGACCGGCCTCCGTCTGCCTCCCCCGCCAAGATCCAGGGGCAGCAGAGCCCTCCTGACATATTTCCCCACTTGCTGCACTACGCCTAGACTTGCTCTTCCCCGCCGTCCTTCACCTGCCCTTTTGACACGACCTCGCTCCCACAGCCCCACGCGCGATGGGTCGGGAAGCGACTGGACTGGGGGGAGTGTAGGAGACACCTCTGAAATAACACACACACACACACACACACACACACACACTCGGCGGCCCTTTCCATGGTGGCAGAGAAGAGCACGAAGCTGCGCTGCCCTCTGCCCCAGTCCAGCCACCCGCTGGGGCCCTGCCACCCCTACCCCGCCCGCGTATGGGCCCCGGGCTTATCCCGCCCTTCCAGGAGGGAGCCTGGGGTGGGAAGGAGGTGGGACTGGGGAGGCGTGGGAGTGTCAAGTCCTGACATAGCTCATGGTTGAGATATAGTGCCTGAACAGGATGGAAGGGCAGGAGTGGCTGAGGAAGAAGGAAAGTCGGTGGCGTCTTGGTGCAATGTGTGGGGCAACCAAAATGCAAGAGGTGGAGGGGACCACTGTTTTCAAAGGGAGCCTCCTGCAACTCTCAGTGTCAAAATCTTTTTCTAGAAAACAAACCTTTCATACCACTTCTTTGACAATGACTTCATTTCGAGCAGTAAGAAACATTCTCTAGATGAGGTTTTTTGGAGCACAGATCTCAGAGATTGACAACAGATAGCATAGCGGGCTTGTTGCCTTTCCTTTCTCCTCTGCACTGGCAAACAGGTCATACCCAAATCCAGTCACTACTGCTGAAGATCTCTAAGCTGTACCAAAGCACCACTTTGCCTCAGACTTCATCCTCTTACCATGCTGCTCTGACACCAAGGAGAGCCCAATTTGGCCTTCCCAGATACCCCACCAAAAATCCCATCTGAATCCACAACAGACGTAGAGTTGATCTTCCTCATCCACCAATGTTATTACATTGCTCTCTTCCTCTTGCTTTTTGTCCAGCTGCTGCCAGAGACACTCAAGCAGGTGGCACCTGTGTTCATGAGTCTCTACACCTAGCTTTGCCAGCTTCCTATGCCACCCCTGCCTCTGTACAGCACTGCTGCCAGGCTGCAGCCATGGGGCACTTTCCCTCACTCTCTCCTTTGCATTACTGTCCACACACCATGCTTTCCTCTGGGAGGTGGGAAACCAACATGCTACAGATCTGGCTACCCCTTTAGAGATCCCACTCCTGCAGACTGCTTACTATGAACTGAATGGATTTCCAAGAGCTCTACAATTTCTCTCGCCTTGTCCTATCCCACGTTTCCTAACCTTTGCCGGTTTGTTGTTCATAAAGCATGAGCTCCTCAGTGCAGGGATTACATTTGCAAGAGTTTGAAAAGATTGCAACAGGTAAGTAGTATCTTAAGTGTTGCACCTCGAGGCCCCAACCCAACCATGATTGATTGCAGTTACAAGGACTATTGCAACCTCAAAGTTCTCATTTAGAAACAAGATGCTTTTGTATGACATCAATTATCTCACAGAAAGAACTGTGTGTCCTGAGACATACGAGGTTGAACTTAATCACCTTTCACATTTCATGCTAAGGGAAACAAGACCAAAGAAATTAAATGAAAACATGCTTTGATAGGTTTATCCCTTTTATTAGTTTAATAAAAATGTTTGTTACATTTCCTGTTATTAAATATATATACACACAAAATAGCTTTTCACACAGATACATAATTAATACAAATCAAAGGCTTCTGTTCTACTTGTGGAAAACAAATTCGTAGCAGGATTACAATTCCATTGGATTCAACAACATACTGTCTGCAGTGACATTGATTAAAGGCATGAAACTATCATACACTTCGCAATGAAAAATGTGTCAAGTCCCTGTCTTATTGGCTGACCTATAGGTTTACAGCTGACTTTTAGAAATTAATCTTTACCATCCATACAGCACTTTGATCTGACCTATTAGGAGGTAACGTCCCTGGATTTTGTTCAATTCCACAACAGGGGGAATCCATCCTCATGGTGATTTAGCCCACTGGGTTGTTTGGTGGTGTTTCTTTCGTGGTTGTGGGTTTTTTTTGTTTTGTTTTGTTTTGTTTTGTTTTTTTGGTTTTTTTTTGGTTGTTGTTGTTGTTTTGTTTGTTTTGCTTTTGTTTGCCAGTCACTCAATTGTGAAAGTGACATTGCAGAGGATCTAGGTCTCACCAACTTTTTTCCTGATTTTTTTCCAAGAGAGGCCACCTATTGCTTACTGGACACCATTTTTAGAACAGTGTGATACGCTAGGGCTAACTCTTGCTGTTACACAAGGAAAATCCTCATAGGCCTCACCTAGTGTATATCTGACATAACACATTCCAAAGACAGGATTTTGATTACGAGTAAATGCAAAATGCTGGGATTGTTGTCCTCCTGTTCCATACCAGCTTTTCCTTAATTTGTAAACCTACTTTAATCTGCATGGAGAATCTTGGCATTTCTGCATAAACACTCCTGCGTTGGAAAGAAACAATGGTGTTACCACAAGAGAAAAGAACAGAGGTAATCAGAGGGAGGTTTGAGCATCACTCTCATTGGGATCATAGTGCAATCGTAAATTGTTAGAAAGAACACGTGCTTGCTGTGACCACATCACACTATTTTCTTCCACTGGCTGTCAAGGCAGTTCTCAAACTGTTTGCAGGATAAATGACACACTGCTGATTCTCACTCTTTTGTCCTCCAGAGGACCAGGCAATAAAGATAGGGGATATGGAAAAGCGTCTGCAAAGAGAAAAGGTACCAGTTTGCCCAGAGTAAGAGATCTACTACAAGTCAAAGACAACACAGGAGCTGAAGTGAAGGATGGAAGGTATCAGAATGATCACCAGTCACCAAGTGTTGAGAATGGAAGTGCACTGGGCAGCTGGACAGTGTATGTAGAGGCTGGAAAAAAGCAGATGGGTGTTGGGTAACCTGTTTAAGGGAGCAGGCAACTTTCTACTGGACATTCACATAAACCACACTGCAGTTACTAAGGGGATGCTGCCAATTACAAATGGGCCAGAAATAGGGAAGGAAGTACAAGGGTGCCATGAAAGATGTGTTGGCCTTTGTCAGAGCCTACCCATCTTTTATTATAACATCTACTCCCCACTGCACTGCACTTGTGCTGCTCCTGAGACCTCTTGTCTGAACAACCTTCTTGTTGCGGGGTCAGGACAAAACCTGCCCCGCTGTTCTCTTGAGGGAACTGAAAAATCCACTGACAGAGAAGCACAGGTACAGAAAGGTAGTCCTTGGGGTTTTTTGTGTTAAAAAATAATACTGGTTATTCAACAGTGTTGCTATTTTTTATGCTACTCTGTTCAAAGAGAAAGGCAGTCCTCTGAGAAGCTTACAGTCTACATTTAGAAGATGAGTCACAGGCAGGGAAAGGGATTCACTGGAAGGGAAAGAACTATACAAAGGTCAAGTGAGGGGGTTTTGGATCTCTTGCTTATGGGCATCACACATTCCTGGGCAACAGGCATATCCCCCTTTTCAAGTTTAAATCCAGTATTCCCATGAGCTCTGCAGGTCTGTTTCCATTTGCCATAAGCAGCAGCAAATCCCAAAGGAGCACTCAGTCAGCTGAGCTGATGGAACAGACAGGCATTTTGAATGTACTCACAACACACATACACACATATACATGAAGATACCTTGCCAAGGCCCCAGAGATCCATATTTCCACAGCATCTTTTATCAGTTCAGGTATGTTTTCAGTTCCAGATGACTGCAGATGCAACCTGCGTCAGGGCGGTGATGCAAGCCTAAGTCAACCCACAACTCGGCTACATTGCTCCATCACATGGAAGGTGGCCAAGCTGTATGGCAGATCACAAGAGAGACAAAAGAAAAGTATTCAGGAAAGCTAAAGGAGTAAAGACATGCATGACTAAAAAGTGCAACAATAATGAACAAAAAATAAGGATGTAGAACTACCTCAAAAGGAGACAAAGCTCTGTAGCAACCCTTACAGCAGGATAGGGGACTGCTGGTTATCTGAGATGTGTCACGTGTTTTTCGTGCCACTGAGAAGAAATGTAGTCATTTGTTTCACTAAATGGCATTCTTGTACCAAGCACTAATTTTATCCCTTTACAAATATGTTTTTCACTCTAGCAAGTCAAGAGCAGCTCTTCCTTCTGTACAGTCATTCTGCTCTCATGCCTCTGTTATCATTACTCACACTTACTGAGGTGAGGCCAGATTCAAAGAAGGTCCTGGCTCTTGCGGTGCTGAGCACTGCAGCATGTCTTTGCCTAAATTCACAAACTCAAATTATGACACCCTGCCCCGGTGCACACTGAAGGCAAAAAGTAGAATACCTAAGAACATAATCTTCATTATCCATCCTGTTAAATGAAAATCTCTACAAGAACCAGTTTGACACGCCAACAAATCTCTCAAGATACCTCGTCCACTGCTGAGTTGATCCTAACGCTGGGGTGAGGCAAGATACCTTGTGTGGAATTCTCAACCCTCAGCCTTTCTTTAGGCACCCACTCCATCGCCTTGCTGGGGTCATACCCCTCCAAGTCCACATGCTATTTAGCACTCACCCAGGAACTCAGTTTTCCCTCTTCTGCCTGAAAGGGCAGCAAAGTGTTTTAACAGCATGGCACAGATGTGTGCTGGGTGAGGTGATTTTGGTTGAAGCTGTTGCACAACATACAGAGTCATAGAATCAATCATCTTGTCATATAACTACAGAATGGTTTGGGCTGGAAGGGACCTTAAAGATCACCTAGTTCCAAACCTCCCTGCTGTGGGGCACGGGCACTTTTCACCAGATCAGGCTGTGCAGAGCCCCATCCAACCTGGCCTTGAACACTCACAGGGATGGGGCATCCACAACTTCTCCAGGCAACCTGTTCCACTGCCTCACCACCCTCAGTAAAGAATTTTTTCCTAATAACTCGTTTTCCATAATCTGAAATGATGTGAGGGAAAGCCAGTGGGACTGGAGGGGCTGGGGCAGACATTCTCAATGCCATCCTGTGCATAAATCTTAAGCATGTGTTAAAGCCGTATATTTGGGCAACTCTGAAAGCAGGTATTTATGTAACCCTCTTCCCTCCAAGCAGGTGGTTGGGGATCCACGTTTCAGACTTGGGCCTTGCCAGCAGCAGCCAGCTGGCTCTTGCTGCCAGCCCTACAGTACTGCCATGGGCCTAACACAGGGTACCTCAGCACTTGTGAGAAGGCACACCAGGCACTGAACAACCACAGAAGAGCCGATTGTCCCTGTTCTGCAGAGCTTACAGGAACAAATGAGCCAGAGAGCAGTTGCTTCAGAGTAAGGGATGGAACTGGTAACATTAAGTGCCATAATAAATCAGCAGGTAAGCACAAATTTTGATTGGCGTGTCACTCATCCTGAAATTGTACACTTTTGACTATAGTTTATGTGAGAAGGATAAGGACCTGCAAACACAAGTCAGCTTTGAAACACAAGTCTTAGCTTTGAAATTGAGCCGTTCGGGCATTTTAGGGTACCACACTGTGTAACAGCTACACACTCCTTGTTTCTTAAATAAATTTTGGCATCAGCAACCTGCCCTTCTGCTTTAGGGAATAAAGTCCTAAATTTCTCAGCAACAAAACATTCCAGACAAACGTAGCAATGGAAGATAAACAGAACCTAAAGCCAGACTGTAGCTGGTGTATTAACTAGTTGAGTCTATAGATTGTAAATTTAGCATGCCAAGCAGATGTACACAGCTCTTTACAAGAAGGTCTGTTCAGCTTCCCTTACAAACAGGAAACAATACAAATGGCACTATAAACTTCTAGTATTTTGTACAGGGATTATTCACTTTTATCTTCTGTGGATTAACAGGTGAGTCTCCTTTAAAATCTCAAAATTTCTCTTTTTATTGCCATTCCTCATTTAGAGTATTCAGAAGTGATTACAATGGGGAGCTCCAGATGCTCTCATCATGCAAACCAAGGAAAGGCTTGAGTAGGACATGCATATAAAGTGGGGTTTGTTTTTTTTTTTAATCACCAGCAACACTGGAAATCAAGTACTACTAAAAAAAAAATCTAATAGTTGTGCATGCTGCAAATCCAAGTGCAGCATGTGTTTACTGGAGAGACATAATATGGCCATGGCAACAGAAGATTAACCTTCTTCAATCCTACAGCCCACTGAAATATATTGATTTTGAGCTGAAAATATCATCTGTTGAAAAGAAATACAGTGTGCTCATTGTTTAATCCTTGATGTCTCTTCTACCTAGTTTCGTAACTGTAGATAAGTGATACAGATACTTGTCCACATAAAATGAACAAAGTTCAGGAATGCATGTCCCTCACACCACTGCCACCACGCAGTCTCACCTTGCATCATACATTCACTTTCAGATGCAGATGATAGACCATTTCTGTTAATAAACCTCTGTCTCCTCATCTATAACCCATTATTCATCCACTGCACTGTATTATACACACTCAGTCCTCTTTCACAGCATCCTTTTGTGGAGCAGATTGAATGTGAGATTGTGTCTATAGGTCTCCCTCCACCCTGCTGCACCACATCTCTGAAAGAGTCTGCCTAGCACAAACTGGTACATACCCAAGAGACAGAAATCATGTGACATTTCCTCTCTCACACATAACAATTTACCTCTTCCATCATCATATCCTTTTTTTAAAAAACCATCATCCTCCAGTCTCTCATTAAAGATCCACTTGCCAGACAGTTCTGGTGCCCCTGCCATAACCTGGCACTTGTAGAAGACTTTGTATTGGCCAGTCCCAGTATTTCACAAACATGAATTGTTTTGTAGAATGCCTGTTAAGCACAATGTATCACTCCTAGAGGAAATGGGATGGTAGAAAGTTCAATTAGGAACTCACCAGGGGCAGAAGCTGATAGCAAAAAAAAAAAAAAAAAAAAATCTGTTTCCTATCTATCTTTAACATCCAATTATGCATCTGTATTTTTTCTTCAAATTTTTTGTACTTCTATAAAATGTCCAGTTTTCAGACTTCCTAAAGAGTCCTACCATTAGTTTTAACCAATAAAGTTAGCATTTCAAAACTGCCCTTGTTTGAAAATAATGTAAGACCAAAGACACCACAATAACGTTTCCACCAACAACGCCATCTATTCAGGGGATGTAGAACACTATCCCTCTGGAGACATCAACGGAAATCTGAAGGTTTACAGCAGCAATGACCTGGCTCCAAAGTATTCCTACAAATAATAATTAAAAATAAACAAACATCAACAATAAAAAACTGCAACCCAAAAAATGCAGCTGCAGGCTGCCTTGAACCATCCCTTTCCATCCCTTACTGTTACCAAACCAAGCTCTAACATACTTTGATTTTGTTCAGCGTCTAAGTTCCCAGTTCTTCTATATATTGATCCTCTATTGCTTTTGCTCATTAGCCAGCATGCATAGCAAATGAGGTTTATATGTATATGTACGTATCTGAGTACATATATGTACGTATTCCCCCCGAATTGTTTACATAAAACCAGCCAAAGAATGGACTTGCCCTACTCTTAGTACATCTACTTTTTGTTTAATATTAAAATATTAGCTGTTTTGCTTTTGTTGTTGAATCACACAAATGTCATTATCAACCTTGTCACACAAATGCTTCTCACTTCCATGAATTTTCTCCTCCAATCTACTATTCAAGAGGCATAATACACACAAGAGAACAAGAAACTGGTGACATTAGTGGAAGTGCCTCTTTTTGCAGTGGAAAGCCTTGTGGGATGACAGTGGAAAAGCAGGTCAGAAAATTTTACTCTGCTGAAGACCTAACACTGCATTCCCACCATTTCAGTGGGAAAGTCCACAACTTCCTTCCAATTCAAAAAAGTCAAGAAAAGAAGAAGAGAAAGAATCTGAAGAACCTGCTATGAATAGGAATTATTTTCTTTAAAGAATCAGACTCATGATGGAAGAAAAAAATATTTTTCAGAAATCTGGGTTAGATAACAACCAGGCACGTTTCATTCCATACTCATACAATCACTTTTATGGTCACACTTCTGCCCTGTAAGCCTCAAGATTCAATCCGCAGCTAAATCCCACATTATGGAAAAAATGTGCAAGAAAACATTTAGAAATAATACATATTTATTTTTTTGTCTTCCAAGTCTTTCATGCTGTCTTATACCAAATGAGCCTTCCATTTTCATGACTTGTTCACCTCTAGGCATATGAAGGAAGTTTAATCCCTATAATCCATTCACTCCTTTGCCTCAGCAACTATTGAAAGTACCACTGGTAGCACTTAATGCATAAATTGATGATTAGATTGATTTTATCACTTAGTTTTCTATTGACCACTGAATGGGAAGTTACCTCCTTAAAACATATTATTTCTCTTTGAATAACCTGCTACAGATGTGCACTGAGAAATAAAATTAAAATGGATGGCTGAGCAATGATTGCTTAACTCCTTGCTCTGTGGAGATTTCCCCCATAGCAAAACGCCAAGTAAAAACCTAAATTGTCTGCCTAGAGGACGGCAGCCTTGCTGAAAAGCAATGTTCTTTAATCATTAGGTTCTTCCGTCAGTTTTTCAGTGCTGGATGTAAAAACCATGAAGTTCAAAAGGCAAAAAAAAAAAGACATAGGGTCTCGCACCTAAGAAAGCTGATTATACATACTTTTTAGAATGCAGTATCGCCTTGCCCTAGACGACTTTGAGTTTTTCATTTAAATACTTTCCAAAAAATTGTTCCATTAAGATTTCTACAAGTAGCCCATCCAGGGGCAAGACATCAGGTAGCACTGTGTGAATACACCTTGAGCATGGTGTCCAAACCACACACACAGTTCATAGCAAATAC